TCTCCCACCAATTGAACAATAGTTTATATATGATCACCATTTTATACGACTTTTCCTTAAAACTTTCTAAGACTGGTTCTCCCCTCTCCCCTTCTATACTCCTGCACCCCCGCAGTTATTCCTCCACAAGCATTCTCTTTAACTCTCTCTGATAGAATGGGACCATGTGTCTCTCCAAGAAGCCTAAGGACACTAGAGATGCACTCACTACTCACTGTGTCTCTCTTTTCAGTTCAAGATTCTAGTTCCTCATTTTTCTCTTATTCAAAGTATTATACTCTTTCAGGATCTTGAGACAATATGTGAAACAGAATACAAATTATTTTAGGCTCTCAAGGACAAGAGAAATGTTACAATGAGACTTCAAAGTGTATGGACAATAGAATTAAAAGACAATTTTTTGGGAAAATTTTTTTAAAATACAGGCATGGGCAGTTATCTTCAAAAGTTCATGAAAAATATACTTTATGGAAAAACTATAAATGGACTTCAAATTTTTTGCACCAAAATAAACTTATTTTCCCATGATTTTTTTAAGTACCCTTTTTCACCATTCTGGTTACTCACAACAATCTAGCTGTTTATAGGTCAAGTGTAAAGCCCACTAAATGAAGTAAATGAGGCTTCATCTAGGGGTGACTGTTTAAGTAAAGAAATAGTCATCAGGAACACTATGCAAAACAAATCCTGTAAGGACCGAACTCAAGACCTTTTGTTTACCAGGTAAGTGGGATGAACTGCTGAGCAACAGTCCCCTTACTGTCCTAAAATTACCTTCTTTGATGTGCAAACAGAGTACATTTTAAAACATGCTAGAATTTTAGAATTTGCATGTCTGAGGTAACATTCCACTTTTAGCAGGAAATATACCAAAACAAATCTCCTTGGTACAATACACTGTCAAGGCTGAGAAGTGGGGAAACTGCAAATTACAAACAAATTGCCTGCTTTTTACCTAGACATCTGTTATAAAGTTGTTCTAAAGAAAAAGGGTCTCCCATCCTTAAATCTATCAAAGGGATCAAGAATGGGCTCAAAGGGATGAAACCAAGACAGAACAGAGGATAGCTGCTACAGGGAAATAGAAATTTCTCCATGAGCAAAAGAACCTGTTTTATTGGGTGTAAACTACATTTCTACATTTATTCAAAGTGGAAATGCTTTTAAAAATTAAGCTGTGGGGACTGGTGCTGTGGTGTAAGCCACTGCCCCACAACCCAGCATCCCACATGGGCACTGGGTTTGAGTCCCAGCAGCTCCGGCTCCTTGCTAACGTGCCTAGGAAAGCAGCAGAGGATGGCCCAAGTGCTTGTGCCCTGTCCCCAGGGAGATCTGCAAGGAGTTCCTGGCTCCTGGCTTTGGCCTGGCCCAGCCCTGGCTGTTGTAACCATTTGGGGAAGTGAGCTAACAGACAGAAGACATATTTCTCTCTCTTTCCCTCTTTTGCTGCAACTCCACCATTCAAAATAAATATTTCTTGAAAAAAGAAAAAAAAATTAAGTTAGAGGGGCCAGCATTGTGACACATCAGTTAAAGCCACTGCCTGTGAAGCTGGCATCTTCTACGGGTGCCAGTTCATGTCCCCATCAGCTCCACTTCTGATCCAGCTCCCTGCTAATGTCTGGGAAAAGAGCAGAAGATGGCACACCTGTTTCAGTCCCTGCCACCCACATGGGAGACCTGGATGGTTTCAGCCTGGGCCAGAGCTGGCTGTTGAGGCCATCTGGGAAGTTAACCAATGAATGGAAGATCTCTCTCTCTCTCCTTTCTCTCTGTAACTCTTTCTTTCTTTTTTATTTTTTTTAAATATTTATTTGAAAGGCAGAGTTACAGAGAGGCAAAGGCAGAGAGAGAGATATATTCCATCTGCTGGTTCACTCCCCAAATGGCTGGAGCTTCTTCTGGGTCTCCCACGAGGGTGCAGGGGCCCAAGGACCTGGGCCATCTTCCACTGCTTTCCCAGGCCACAGCAGAGAGCTGAATTGGAAGTGGAGCATCCAGGACCCAAACTGGCACCCATATGGGATTCCAATACTGCCACATAAAATGGGATGTGGCATTCCCCCCACAACACCACGCACCATGAATGGGTAATGGAATGAATGACAAGAAAGCATTAAGTGCAGCAACAGTCTGTACAATTACAGGCAGACGTCTATGGATGAAGGAATCCACCAATCTCTATGCATGTGTTAAAAGAACATGTGGAGAAGGCATATATAGGGAACACGAGCTGAAATGCCAGAAAGAACACATGTTTTGGAATAAAAACAATTTTGCTCTCTGCTACTGCCATTGCCACTTACAAGCCAGGTGACTTTATGAGTTATTTTTCTCCTCCAAGTCTCAGCCTCATCTCTCAAATGAGGGCAATGAGATACTTTTGTGGAAAAAATTAAAATTGATGATTAACAAAGGATATATGTTAGTGGAAAAACCCAATTTGATTAAATAAAACAATGTGAGGGGCTCATAGTTCATCATTCTGGACACATGGCTCTGAACAGATGCATGTTCTTCTGAACAGAGGAAGATCTCAGGTTGGAAGTCCAAGTTTCGAATCAGAAGCCTGGGCCTGGAGACAGGCATGCCAATACTCATCCTTCCGGTTGGAGGACACTGTTTCTCTGTACTGTGGCAGGAGAGGAGACAGGACGGTGAAAGAGTTGACGTTTCTGGAGGCAGGAAGAGGGCAATGAAACAAACAAACAAACAAAAAACCGCTATGCAAGGGACCCGACCCTGGGTGAGCAGAGATTGATGAAGAAAGACTCCTCACTTTAGTGCTGAGTCCTTAAGCACAGGGTGGAGAAACACTCAAAAGCCAGTGTTTCTCTCTGGGAGAAATGGAAATGCAGAAAGCAAAGCTCTTGGAGAAGAGGAATTGAATTTTTTTGTGAGCCACAAACCCAAAACCAGCCAGCCTGCATCTCTTTCCCTATGGGAAAGTACCGAGTTCCTGTTTCAAGGGGCAAGAGTTACCTCCAGGTATATGGTATAGCAAATACTGTACGTGCTAATAAGCCCTAAAGAAATATCAGGAAAAAGAAACCAACGGAGTTAATAAAATCAAAGTTTCCCCCCCTCCAGCCCCAAAGCTAAAAGGGAATTGAGCGAGGAGTGTTCAGAGGCTAATTTGTCGTAGCTTCTAGGTCATCCCCGAAAGAAGTAGAGGAAGTTCTTTAAGGAACCCCCAGGGGGCATCATTCACTTATTCAGATTACTCGGTGCCAGGCATTGTTCCAGAAGCTGTACAATATAACAGGGGTCAAAACACATCTCCCCTTCCCGCCAGAGGCGGCTCAAGGAACATTCTGGGGGATAAGGTGGAGTGGTAAATTTAATAATAAGTATGAGGGGTGTTCACATGCACACTATGGCAAATAGCATGAATAGGGGCGAGAAGTGCAGGGCACGGCTCGGCTGCGAGATGGCCTGGAGGCTGGCGTTGGGCGCCTGTGTCCTTGTCCACCCAGGAGGCGGCGAGCAGTTAGTCGCCAGCCTTAGGGGGTGCAGCCACGTGAGCTCGCGCCTCTCCCGCGGAAAGGGCGCGCGGAGGGCGGCTGGGTGCGAGGCACAGGTGGCCGAGGGCGCGGTTAGAGCCCACACCTGTGTGCTGGTGTTCCTGTGAGGCACTCCAGACGGGGACCCAGGGGCTGAACCGTGGTTCTCTGTGCTGACAAGGCAGCAGCCGGCCCGCCGGTAAAGCAGTGAAGCAGACTTTAGTTAGCAACCGCTGCGGTCGGGAGAGGAGCAGGAGACCACGCTGCCTAAACGCCGAGTAGGAGGTCTAGGGGCCGGCCGGGGCTGAAGACGAGCCAGGGAAGTGGGGTCCCGGGGAAACTCGCCTGGACTCGCAGCCCGCCCCTGGGAAAGTGAAGCGCCAGCCCTCAAGGAAACGGCGGCTCGCAGAGGTGGGGCCGCGCGGCCAGCCAGGCAGCCTCAGGAGGAGGGCCCGGCCTGCCGCGATCCACCGCCAGCTTGACAGGCAAGCAGCGCGGCCTATCCGCGGCGCACTTGGTAACCTAGCAACAGGCCTCAGCCAATCCCGAGCTGCTGGCGCCAGGCCACGCCCACCGAGGCCCGTTCCGCCCTGCGCTAGCGAGGTCAGCGCCGCGGAGGGGCCGTTCGGCTGCCTCCTGGTCTGGGCGCCGCGCGGGTGCGGAGCGCGCTGCTCCTCCGGAAAGTCGCCTTGCGAAGAGGAAGTCTCCGTTACTGACGGCTGGGGCAGTCGGGCTCGAAGGTCTTCAGTGAGGCCACAGAACGGCCTCCCTCCGGGCTCCCCAGGCGCAGCCTGCGTCCTCTCAGAGCCCGGCCGCTTCCTTCGATTTGGGGAGCGGGGAGGGACGGGGATCGCGGACCGAGCAAGCCTGGGCCCCGGCGCGGAGCGGGTGCAGCCCCGGCGCCTGCACGGCCGCCGGCTTCGCGCGCGCTCGCGGGCGGCAGGGGGCTGGAGAGACGGCAGTGGCACATTTTCACCAGCATCCTGACAGACAGACGAGAAGGAAACGCTGATTCCACACCTCAAAAAGCATGTAAATCATTTGTAACACCCAACACTCAGTCCTTAAAAAAAAAAACAGCAATCGCCTCAAATATCTTTTTACAATGATTGTGACTGAGTCTGGGCCTATCAAACACATGGTATTAGACTGCTATTCCTCTTAAATGTATTTTAAATCCATAATATTCACCCAAGTCTCATAGTAATCGTGTTTGTTCTTTGGAAAAGAAACTGAGACTAAAATGATGACGGGAACTCCCACAGCTAGGGATTTCATGGCTTTTACAGTCTCTTTGAAAAGTGTGTGCTGCTAGTTTTTTTCTAAAAAAACTAATAAAAATAATAAATAATAAAATAAATAATAAATAATAAAAAACTAATAAAAATAGTTACGTTTTCCATTCCAATTTAAGTTACATGGGTTCTTATTAGCATTTTTTGCGTATATAATTGAAATTGCATCTGAAAACCCTTAGTCCCATGGTCTATAGCTATAGAGAAAATATTAAAGGACATCTTAACATTTTTATTATTGTGAATTAGGAACCAGAAGGAAAGAGAAGTATGAGATGGGAGTTTCTATGTCAAAATGAGAGAGGACTTTGCAGGAACACAGTATCTTAATTTCTGTGACTGAAAATGAGGGAATGATTAGGTTAAACAAATATGTACATGATATATCAAAGGAGGAAATATTTAAAAAAAAAGGACAATTTTCTACAGGCCAGTTATCTATCTAAAAAGCATTTTATCAAGCTACCAATTTCTTATGAATTGTTAAAGCCTTGTTTGTGCACTTACAAATTTTACAGTGCTTTATATTAGTCAGTATAGTTTATATTTGAAAGTTTCTAAGAGTTTAGTTGACCAGCTTCCAATGTGTATTTTTATGAGAATATTTTTAAAAATGTCTGTCATCGCCCCTTGTCTAGACCAAGACATAGGTGGAGGTAAGAGGGAATAAAGAGGGGGATAGAGAAAAAGCAGAGACAGAAAGAAAACTAGAAAACAGGAATCCAGAGGCCTAATTCCTTTAAATCAAGACTTCCAACATCTGTCTTAAGTCAGCTAATGAATAGTTAATATAAAACAAATCTTCCTTTATAACTCAGCAAAACTTAACAATCTGAAGGTGTTCTCTGGTGGATATCTATTCCTCTTTTTCTAAAACAAAAAACAGCTGAGATCCCCCAAGACACAAAGATGAACAGCAAACATTTTTTGAGCTGGTTCTAAATGTTTTTAAATCAATGCATTTTGGCCAAGGAAGACACTGCACATTCGTAGTCACTACTCAGCACACACACAACACCCATTTGAACAGCACTCTAAACGTGTGTAGTCTTCCCAGCTGTCAGTCTTCCAGGATTGAGACTTCAGCCTCTGAGCCATGTGGTACCTCTTTGGACTGCTGACTCCCAAGGTCATCCATTGCCTGTTCAGTGAGCTAAGCTGCTGCCTGTGATGATTCCAGATCCAAATTCTAGTTCAATTCCCAGCTGTTCCATTTCTGATCCAGCTTCCTGCTAAATCGACCTGGGAAGAAGTGAAAGATGGCCCAAGTACTTGGGCCCCGGCCATCACGGGGGAGACTGGTATGGAGTTCCAGGGTCCTGGCTTCAGCCTGACCCCAGGCCTGACTGTTGTAGCTGCCTGGAGAATAAACCAGCAGTTGTAAGAGCCCACTCATTCTCTCTCTTTTACTCTGCCTTTCAAATCAATAAATTAGTTTTTAACAGTATTTAGCTTGGAAATTATCAATTGATTACTTGGATTAAAAGACAGCATCAGAGGCTTATGTAGCATAACAAGTAAAGTTAGTGTTGTATGTATTCACAGGTTTCAGCCATCATTATTTTGAGATAACAAGGATGAAAATAAATTTTTCTTCGTTTCTGTATTCCTTGTTTCATATAGTGTGTACATTCTCTAAATGAAAATATTTGTGCAACAAAGTAGGTGACTATTTGACTAGATGCATACGAGCAACTATTGTATATGGAGGTCATTTCCAAAGACTGTGGACTAGGATAAAGCTCAAAAACGGGACATTTCAGAACAGGAATATTCAGGAAGGCTTTTTGAACAACTGGTAGAACACTGACTTAACAAAATATTCTCTTAATTACGGTGCTAAGTTTATAACCATTTAGATAAATGAGGCACTAGTTTATTTTTAAGCTTACGTACAGGTTACTACCTTTCACAACAAAACTAGTCATAGTAGAACTTCCAAATGTTTCATAGATCCTGGTTTCTCTTACCTGAAGCACATAATTTTGAAGAGCTTCATCTGCAGATATCTTTTGTAGGGAAGGGTAACGTTCTCATTTAGAACAGCCTGAATGAGGTGAACTTTTTTCCCTCACTGGTTCCAGGCAAACCAAAAATAGGACTTTAAAAGCCAAAGTAAGCAGCTTTAAGATTTAAACTTTGTTTTCAGAGGAATCTGGGATAAATATCCCCAAGCTTTCTGCCTTCACTGCATCCCATTCTGCAAGGCTTTCGAATACGCACACCCAAGTGAAGGGGAATGAGCACCCCAAGTAGAAAGGCAGGAGCATTTGACTCCAAGACACCCACTCAAATTCCTTTTGAAACAACGTTAACAACCCACGGTTGGCTGTTTGCTTACTGGGCACAGGGTAGAGATTCCTCCCATGCACCCTACAGCCGCTCCCCGCACTCCTGAAACCAGCCCACAGAAGCCTCTGCAACCCCACAGTCCAGCTGCCTCGAGCGGTGGCTAGTGTATTTCCATGTTACAGCTCCCTAAGGCTTCTCAAAATTGGGGAGGACCCTTAAGATGCAGGAAGTCCTATCACACAAAAGACCCAGAGATTTGGCAGGAACAGGTGATGTTAACTGAACCTTTAAAGAAAAAGCGCATCAAGTTAAAATAGCCTAAAGCAGTCATAAGCACCAGCTCTCCTTCTGAAAATATGGGTGGCTCTGAAAAGAGCCTTTGGGTCCGCCACGAGTCGATGACGAGCGTCTACTTGGAGCTGGTGTACTTGGTGACGGCCTTGGTGCCCTCGGACACGGCGTGCTTGGCCAGCTCGCCGGGCAGCAGCAGACGCACGGCCGTCTGGATCTCGCGCGACGTGATGGTGGAGCGCTTGTTGTAGTGCGCCAGGCGCGACGCCTCGCCGGCGATGCGCTCGAAGATGTCGTTGACGAACGAGTTCATGATGCCCATGGCCTTGGACGAGATGCCGGTGTCGGGGTGCACCTGCTTGAGCACCTTGTACACGTAGACCGAGTAGCTCTCCTTGCGGCTGCGCTTGCGCTTCTTGCCGTCCTTCTTCTGCGCCTTGGTCACCGCCTTCTTGGAGCCCTTCTTCGGGGCCGGCGCAGACTTGGCCGGGTCAGGCATTTCAAAAACCGAACTGGAACTTACAAGCGTAAGAAAAAATATGACAAAGACCGCCAACCGCCTCACTATTTCTTTGCTCTTTATGCAAATTAAGGATGGGAGAATTACAGCTGCCGATTGGCTATTCTAGTACCTCCGACTCTGATAGGCTAGTTCTCTGTTCCAAATTCTCATTGGCTCTTCATGTAGAACACCCTACTAAGTAAGTTGACCTTCTAACCGCGAACGTTTTATGTAGATTAGAAGAGGCCTTTTTTCGGTCCGGCTTTTTCATTGGCTGATGCTTGTGATCGGACAATGCCATAGGTTACTTCTCGAAACTGCCGGAGAGTATAAGTGCGCAGCTGCGCCGCTTCCCCCAGAACTTAAACTCAAGTTGGGGAGTTCGCCATGTCTGGACGCGGCAAGCAGGGCGGCAAGGCGCGCGCCAAGGCCAAGACGCGCTCGTCGCGGGCCGGGCTGCAGTTCCCCGTGGGCCGCGTGCACCGGCTGCTGCGCAAGGGCAACTACGCCGAGCGCGTGGGCGCCGGCGCGCCCGTGTACCTGGCGGCCGTGCTCGAGTACCTGACGGCCGAGATCCTGGAGCTGGCGGGCAACGCGGCGCGCGACAACAAGAAGACGCGCATCATCCCGCGCCACCTGCAGCTGGCCATCCGCAACGACGAGGAGCTCAACAAGCTGCTGGGCAAGGTCACCATCGCGCAGGGCGGCGTGCTGCCCAACATCCAGGCCGTGCTGCTGCCCAAGAAGACCGAGAGCCACCACAAGGCCAAGGGCAAGTGAGCGCGCGCCGCCCGGCCCGGCCCGCGCCCGCACCAAAGGCTCTTTTCAGAGCCACCACGGCGTCCACGAAAGGACTGTGCACCCTAAACGTGACGTGGAAGCGCCTGAGTCCCGTCCCGCCACGTGGAATGTCCGGTTCCTGTGATCAAGCCTGGGTGAAAGGGACTAAATTCGCACTCAGCACTGCGGCCTAGTCGCTGCCTAGTGTCCATTTGCATTCAGCTCCACCGAGCATCTCGGTTTTGCGGCTCCTTCAAGACTCTGAAATTCAGTCCCCCCCCACCCCGCCCCGAAAAGCTAAAGCTACGCTGACTTCTGGAGAATGCCAGTTACCTGTCGTCACCTAGTGCGCCGCTCAAGTGGCGTAATTCAAGAAAACTTTTTAAAAACTGAACGTGGGCCGTTGCTGTGACGAAACGAGCAAAGCCGCCTGCAGTGCCGACATGCCATGTGGGCACCGGGTTGAGCACCGGCTGCTCCACTAACGATCCAGCTCCCTGCTATGGCCTGGGAAAGCAGCAGAAGATGGCCCAAGTCCTTGGCCTCCTGCACTCACCTAGGAGATCGGGAGGAAGCTCCTGGCTCGAATCAGCGCAGCTCCGGCCGTTGTGGCCATCTGGGTAGTGAACCAGCGGATGGAAGACCTCTGTCTCTTCCTCGACCTCTCTGTAAATAATTAAATAATAAAATCTTTTAAAAATAAATGATATCCATACATGAGCTTATAGTTTATGCATTGCATTATATGTTCTAGTGAGCTTAACTAATCAGTAACATCAGCTAAGTGTTTCACGGTAACTCAGCAATTGTTAATGAGAAATGAAACAATCTAATTTACATTGAGTAATAATTGTTACTGAGGTTAGTCCCCTAAATCATAATAAAGTGAAAAGCTAATGTTTAGTCAAAGGTTAAGTAAAACATTTTCCCACACAATCTCAAGGACCTCCCCCTCACCACCACTAGCCCTGAGCCAGGTCTCCCATGTGGGTGGCAGTGTGGTGAGTTAGATGGGATAATAAGTTCGGTGAAGTTTTTGTTGGAATGAGATAGAGGGAGGCCCTTTAAAAGTGTACAGGATGCTTCTCCCCAGAACTTGAGTTTTAGCAAGACAAAAGTGCCATGTCATTCCTCTGAGTTTCAAGTTTTTATCATGAGAATAGAAAAGATAAGGCTTTTTTGTTTTATCTGGGTCAGGGCTAGACAGGATTACAATTGCAGCCTTTCTGATGGGTTTTTGTCCCTGCCCTCTGTTTCCTGCATTGTGCTTAAAAGACCTGGTTTCTTCAACTGGTTTCTTTGGAGACCCCCTCCTGACTGCTGCAGCTGGGGTTTCCTACTTAAATAAATCTTGCTTTGCTTTCTGCCTTTTCTGCGTGCAAATTCTACATGAGACAAGACCCCAGGTCATCTCTGTTGTTGCCATTGTTACAGTCGAATTAGAGTTGAATTACTCTTGCCACCCCAAAAACGCTCCAAGAGACCTTCTCTCATGTAATTAACAAAGGGTAAAGTTTATTGATGTTCTGATATGTCGGGGCCCCCGTCCCAGTACAGGTGAGCGGCCTCAAATAGTCTTGGGTTGGGGTTTTTATACACGTTTAAACAAAGAAAATCAATCATTGGGTAGAGCAGACAGTGGTATAGAGTAAACAATTGATACAAGTTAAGTGATTTTACAATCAGTTGATTTATGAACACAGGGAGTATCAAAAAGCCTCCTATTGCCAAAAGGGAGGGCCACACAAGATTGCAGGAACTGCCTTGATGATACCTAGGAATGCAGCCGAATGGCGAATGGCGATAAGGGACACCTGGTGGGATCAGGGTTCCAGGAGGCAAAGAGATATATGGTGACTTCTTCTATCTTACTTAGGTGAAACTAAGGTTACGCTCACATTGGGGTAATTTACTGACCAATTAACTTTATAGAGAATGGCTATGCAGAGCAAGTCTAACGAGGTCAGGAAAGTTCACCAGAGGAGGTTGGGGGGGCGGCTTTTAACTTTTTAACCCTTCACCATGTCCTAGTAACAGCAGGACCCCAGCCACTTTTGTCATCTCCCTTGCCTTGCAGGGTTTGTATCAGCAGGAAACAAGTCTGGAGCCAGGAATCAAGTATGGGACACAGGCATCTTAACAGCCAGGCCAGTCACCTACCCCGAGTACAAATATAGCACATTCACTTCATTTCATTTGAAAGACAGAGACAGAGGGGCTGGCTTTGCAGTGGGTTAAACTGCATATGGGCACAGGCTGCTCCACGTCCTCTCCAGCTCCCTGCTAATGCTTCTGGGAAAGCAGTGGATGGCCCAACTGCTTGGGCCCCTGCACTCACATGGGAGACAGGGTCTGTCCCAGCCCCAGGTGTTGCAATCATCTGGGAAGTGAACCAGCTGATGCAAGGCCCACTTCATTCTGTCACATCACCTTTCAAACAGAGAAAAAAAAAAACTTTTTTTAAAAATAGAGACAGAGACATATCTTTCAACTGCTGCTCCACTCTCCAAATACCTACAACAGCCTGGGTTGGGCAGGCTGAAGCCAGGAGCCAGGAACCCAACCCAATCCGGGTTTCACACATGGGTGGAAATATCCCAAGTGCCTGATCCATCTCATTACCTGCTACCCACTACATGCGCATGAGTAGGAAGCCCGTTCAAGAGTGGAGGAGTCGGGTTCAATCCGCAATCCACATGGGATACAGGCATTCTTGAGATGCCACCATCTCAGCCACCAAATGCCTGCCTCTGTATATATTTTTTAATCATGTATATGTGACCAGAAACAGTTCAAGTATCTTCTTTCAATAAAAGCTTATACTTTTTTCCTTGAATTTTCTACTTGTTTATTCATGAAAATTGTTTTTACAAATGCATTTTCTTTATAATTTTTACAATTGTGTACTATCCAGAAAAACCAACCTACTGAGATACATTTATAGACCTTAGCTGATGGAGAGAGCCAGTATCTCTCTGGTTGGTAGGACACAGCATTTCAAAGACAACAAACACATACTAATACTTGTTTAGGTTTAACACAGTTTTAACCAAAGTCCTAAAGAAATCTCTTTGTTGTAACTGGATAAAATTATCTGTAACCTCAAAAATAGTAGTAGGAATAGAAAATTCTTGAGAAAATAATTTTGTGGTGAAAAGTACACTATCAAACACTAAAATATTCTTCAGTGTTCCAATAATTATACTTCCACTCTACACAGACTGTTTTAAGTAGCATGCATTATTCAATATATATTGCTTCCTCAAATCACTGGGAAAAATATTTAATGCTTGCACATCACACTAATTAGCCAGTTGGTAACTTTTTAAAGTTAATTCCATATACAATAAATCAAACCCTCACTATTATAGTCAGATTTTTTAAACAACACAAATTTATTAGTGTAGCTTGTTATAACAGAAGATGGTGTTTGAATTGAAAATTGGTATTTGGTAGAAAAAAAGTCAGCGATAATTTAGCAATAAGCTGAAGGACCTTTAAAGTTATATATTTTATTAATCTAATCCTGTTATAGGAACTTCACATGTGTAGTATATGGAGCCTATCTCCACCCTATATTAAGGAAACATCACAAAACAGCAGTCTTGAGAAAATAGTGTTAAAGGGGAAAAAGGAAGCATTTTCCTTTTGGCTTTTTATGTGTCTTCCATGAGGTGAAACTTTTACAGTTTAATGGGAGTGGAGAAGGAATCGCCTCAGAGTAGAAAATAGCTTAGGTCTTGTTCAAAAAAACCGCGAGCGGCGAAGGCCGAGGGGCAGCTCCAGGTCCCGCCCCCAGGCTTCCTGCTCTCACTCAGGTCCGCCACGTTTCTATAAAAGGAAGCCTGCGCTAGGCAGCCGCATACTCGCTCCTCGGCCTCTGCGGACATGTCCGGACGCGGCAAGGGCGGGAAGGGCCTGGGCAAGGGCGGCGCCAAGCGCCACCGCAAGGTGCTGCGCGACAACATCCAGGGCATCACCAAGCCCGCCATCCGCCGCCTGGCCCGGCGCGGCGGCGTCAAGCGCATCTCGGGGCTCATCTACGAGGAGACCCGCGGCGTGCTCAAGGTCTTCCTCGAGAACGTCATCCGCGACGCCGTCACCTACACGGAGCACGCCAAGCGCAAGACGGTCACGGCCATGGACGTGGTCTACGCGCTCAAGCGCCAGGGCCGCACGCTCTACGGCTTCGGCGGCTGAGCTGCCCCGCGGCCCCAGACCCCACCAAAGGCCCTTCTCAGGGCCCCCACGGCCTCGGCTAAGGAGCTCGCGCTGGTCCGGGACGGGTGGCCGCGGTGTCCGGGAGGGAGGTGGGCGGCGCTGGTCTCGCGCTGCAGGGGGGGGTGGGCGCAGGCTCCCGAGTTCCTGTCGTAGTCTCGGTCCCGGCTGAAGCGTGCCGGGCCCAGAGAGCTTTGGGAACGCAGGTCCGCCCTCCACTTTGGGAAGGTTCTGGCCCAGCTCCTGCAACGGTCTGGGAAAGTGGCAGAGGCGACCCAGACACTTCGCCCTGCGCCCTTGTAGAGTTTCGGTTGTCACTGGGCTGGGCCTCGGCGACTGGTCATTCGGGACGTGGAAAGCGATGTCTAAGACTATTGAAAAATCCCAGTAGCCAAGGTCGGACTCGTGCACTGAAATGCAGGCGTGAGGTTCCTTCGGGAAGCTGCGGGTTTAGCAGCGTTTACTCCTCCCGCCCAGGTGACGACCCCGAGTTCGGTGTCTTCCCGTGACTTAGGCGTACACGCTCACATGCTTCGTCCAGATAGCCGCTTTCCACGTTTTAGAAGCGTTAAAAATGACATCACTGTCTACACTTGGCTTCTGAATAAATGCGTATTGAAGTGTGATGTTCTAGCCTTTTCTCCTTTAAAGTCACGTGGGCCATCCTCTACTGCTTTCCCAGGCCCCGCAGGGAGCGGGGTCAGAAGTGGAGCCGACGGGACGCGAACCGGCGGCCCAGGCAGAGCCTTAACCTCCTTTGTCGCAACACTGCCCCCTAAGAAACGTTGAAGCGTCAGCGCCTAATTTGTCTGTTGGGGGAGTCAAATCGCTTTATTTTTCTGCCGTTTCGGAGGGCACCGCAATGGGCTGTGTACAGGTTTTCCCTCCGCAGGAATTACAATGATTGGTGGTGGGGTGGTGCATATTCAACACGAGTAGAAACGCGGTTTGCTCTCCAGTCTTCTCACTTGACACTCCCAGACTCCGCAGTAGTGTTGCAGAGTTCTTGTTACTCCGAGTCTTCAACATTTGCTCACATTAGACTACATTTTTTGCCAAACTACCTCAAGTGTATTAAGTTGCACCTCTGATTACAATGGAGTTGCTTACTTTTTACTAAGATTTTGGGAATTTTCTGCTCTCCGGGGAATGGCCTATATTCATATTACTTCCTCCTTTTTAAAAATTGGGGTTTTTAGGCTTTGTGAGTATTCTATATATTTTGGCTCTTAACCCCTTTATTAGCATGTGACAAACTTAATTTTCAAATTTTACTGATATACTTGCATTATAAAAAGCTGATTTTAATGTTTTGTATTTTTAGTTTTGAATACAGCCTTTTTTTTTTTTTTTGACAGGCAGAGTGGACAGTGAGAGAGACAGAAAGAATACAGCCTTTTAATATAGGAGTTATGTGTTCTTAACTCCTCCCCCCAATTTGCATGAATCTATTCGATTGCACATTTAACAAAACTGCCACTAAAATTGCATTTAACTTTGATGTACTGTAAGTGTAAAATACATGCCAAATTTTCAAAACTTAAAGCAAGCTAATACATTTTGTATTGATCATATACTGAAATAATACCTTGGGATCAAAACAGTTAAAATTCATTTCACCTCTTTCAATCTTTTTGTAATGTCGTCACTAGAAAGATAACAATTACAGAGGTGATTTGCAGGGCATCTTAGATCAACAAATGCTTTACACTTTCAGAACAAAATGTACTAATTCAGAACCAAAAAGATCTAGTCCAGAGAAAAAAAATAAGTGTTAGGAAAGTGGCCCAGTTCTATCTATGGCGCGATCTACACCCTGACACCATCCTGGGCTCTAGCCTACGCTGCCATTGCTGGAAACCAGGTGGCCACACGGCCCAACCACCGGTGTCAAGCTCCACTCCCATCCTAATGGGATTCGAGGCTCCTGCTTCCCTGCCCGCCCTCCGGCAAAGTTTTAAAAGATCCGTGCTCCTGAACACGTGGCTCTCTTGTCTCTCCTCTCGGCTCTCTTGGCTCCTCTCGTCTGCTCTCCTCTCCTCCTCTCTGTCTCTCTGCTCTCTCTTCTCTCCTCACTAGCTGCTCTCCTCTCTCTCTCTCTCATCCTTCGTCCCTCCCCTCCAGCCTGCTGGGTTTCCCCCAATAAACCCTTTCCCTTACTCCAGTGTTTGGTGTGTTTTGTGTATCAGAAATACATAACAATGAGAGAAGAAGAGCAAATTTATTTTCACCACTTACATCCCTGAAGAGATGAAATCCCCCAAACCATACTCCTACTTCAGGTGTTATCAAAATGAGAGCACTTTCACAGACCTGTGAAACCTAGTCCTTTGTATTAAGCCCTCAAGAGTAAATACTATATGTTTCCCAGCTCTTTTGAGGAACAAAGCAATATCCTGTTTTAGGCCCTTCGATCTTTTTATTTCAACTTTTAGAAGCAAAGACAAAATAGAGACCATAATGTGTGTGCTAAATCTTTAACCACAGTTGAAGTCCACCATTAAAATCCTCCAAGCTTCAATCCCAGAGCTCCTTGGAGTTTCAGACTTGGGGGTTGGGGGAGGAATCTGAAGCATGATTCTACCAAGTTCCATTCGGGAGGCTACAACTGCTAGACTGAATTGTTGTGGTTCAGTCACACATCAATGAATTCCTTGTTAAAGTTCTTTCAGTTATTGTTAAAGTTATTGCAGCAGGTTAACTTGCTGCTCAGGACACCCACATCCCATATCAGAGTGCCCAGTTCAAGTCCCAGCTCCTCTGTTTCCTGTTCATCTGCCGCCTTCAAGGATGCAAATTATGCTCAATTACTTGGATCCCTGCTACTCACATGTGTGACTGATTGAGTTCCAGGCTCCTGCATCAGATGACTGCCCCTACCTGTTCACATTAGTTTGACTTACTTTTGAACAAAAATAAAGCTATTACTTAAAAAGTATATTGCTAATTTAATTAATGTCTGCTAAAATAACTTTAACAAGGAATTTATTGATGTGTGACTGAACAGCCTGGGCTGTTGTGGGCATTTAGGGAATGAACCAGCAGATTTAAGATCTCTCTCAGTCTTGCTGCCTTTCAGATAAAATGAAATTTAAAAAATTCTTTAAAATAATAGTTACAGCTAAAGAGGAAAAAAATGACAAAGATTTGTGGTATAAGGGGGGAAACAAAGGCATACTGGAATCTTGCTCTGCCTCTAATAATTTGCAGACTATTAAAGCTCCATGCATCAGATCTGCTATTTGTATCCTTGTCTTATAGGTTATTTCTCTGAAAGGCAGTTAGGACAGAATTGATGACAGCAGCACATCTTTAATAGCTCGAGAAAAAATCAAACTAGGTGTACCTGAAGGTGGAATTCATTGTCACCGTGATCTCTTTTAGGCAAACTACCAAAGTCTTGTGTGGGAGGACAATATAACACTTACAGGAAAAAATACACTAATTCTAAGTGACACAGATTTCATTTCCCTTAAAACTTCCCATTCTCCGTGAAATGTAGTCAGTGCCTCCATAATGAGCCAATCTTCGGCAGTCATCTATTTGGGGTTGGCTGAGTCCTACAAATTTTGCTATCCAGGAAAACTCAGCCAGAGCAGATAGGTGGTCAGGCCGTAAAGGACACACAGTTGCACCATCCCCTCTCCTCACTTCCAGTTTGGTCTCGCTCACGTTGCCTATGTCCTTGCAGTCTTCACAAACTAAATATTAAGATTTCCTCCCCTTTTTGTACTGTAGCTCCCACATCTCAACAAGCAACAGGCATATATACAGATCAGTGGTTGACAGACTAACAGACCGTGCTGACAATGACTTGCTGACATACTTCTTTGACTAGTACAGTAATCCTTAAGTGACTGGTAGGATAGGACTTGGATGAGCAGTGAACATGTTCTCCATGTGCAAAACGTCCCGATTCAACTCTGCCATCTCGACACACGCAAGAGACCCTGAGGTCTAGAGCAGTGCCTGGCAAAATAACATTAAAAAACCATAAAAACTGCAGGACACAAGCTTGCATTTGCACACCCTCGTAGTTCAGCTGCCGAACCGGAGCAGATCGTGTTCATGTAAAACCGACCAAATTCAGCGGGGTTAGGCCAGCGCCTCGTCCCACGCTGACCAGCGAGGGGCCCCGCTTACTAGGGGCTCGTTCACGCAGCCTGGACCCCGCGACCACAGGACGCCCAACCAGGGCTGCGCGTGCGGGCAGCTACGGCCCTGCAGCGCTAAGAAAACCACTCTGCCTGGGCCCCACCGGCCCCAGCCCCCGCCGGGCGGGCTGCGGGGGGACGGGGGTGAGGGGGGCGAGAGCCGAGTCGCACCGGCTCCAGCGGGGCCACACTGCCCTGTCCTCACCGCGCACTGCGGAGCCAGAGCGAGGCCTGAACGCTAGAGGCAGACGGGACTTAGCCGGCAACTGCAGCAGAAAGGGAGATAAAAACCCGAATTAAAGTGCTAGGTCGGCAGGAGGCGACACAGCACCCCGACGCCACCCCGCTCCTAGACCTACGCTGCAGACGAGAACGCTCCCGTCTACCTTAACCACGCAGCCCCGGCTTCCTGCGCCCCTCACAGCCGCCGACCCGCCCCCCGCGGCCACCCTAGACCGGAACAGGTTCGCAGCTCCCACTGACACCGTGGGTGGCTCTGAAAAGAGCCTTTGGGTCCGCCACGAGTCGATGACGAGCGCCTACTTGGAGCTGGTGTACTTGGTGACGGCCTTGGTGCCCTCGGACACGGCGTGCTTGGCCAGCTCGCCGGGCAGCAGCAGGCGCACGGCCGTCTGGATCTCGCGCGACGTGATGGTCGAGCGCTTGTTGTAGTGCGCCAGGCGCGACGCCTCGCCGGCGATGCGCTCGAAGATGTCGTTGACGAACGAGTTCATGATGCCCATGGCCTTGGACGAGATGCCGGTGTCGGGGTGCACCTGCTTGAGCACCTTGTACACGTAGACCGAGTAGCTCTCCTTGCGGCTGCGCTTGCGCTTCTTGCCGTCCTTCTTCTGCGCCTTGGTCACCGCCTTCTTGGAGCCCTTCTTCGGGGCCGGCGCCGACTTGGCCGGGTCAGGCATGTTGCAGCGAGACCGAGCAACGCTGTCAGCGACCCAAACCCGCACCACCGAGGGCTTTCTATAGAACGCTGTATGCAAATGAGGTGAAAAGTTCTCGCTGTCTGATTGGCCTTTAATCTTGATACGTCAGCGGTTAGATCTGTCTAATCAGAATGTGTGAATTACAAACTAGCACTCCCTATTGGTTAAGGTGAGACTACAAATTTCAACCAATGGCACGTCTCCTTTTTCGCGCCAAGTGCTGGCTATAAGAACTGCCGACTGCGTCTTTCGCCTTATTTCACTTGTGAGGCGCTTGACGACACGGCCATGTCTGGACGCGGCAAGCAGGGCGGCAAGGCGCGCGCCAAGGCCAAGACGCGCTCGTCGCGCGCCGGGCTGCAGTTCCCCGTGGGCCGCGTGCACCGGCTGCTGCGCAAGGGCAACTACGCCGAGCGCGTGGGCGCCGGCGCGCCCGTGTACCTGGCGGCCGTGCTCGAGTACCTGACGGCCGAGATCCTGGAGCTGGCGGGCAACGCGGCGCGCGACAACAAGAAGACGCGCATCATCCCGCGCCACCTGCAGCTGGCCATCCGCAACGACGAGGAGCTCAACAAGCTGCTGGGCAAGGTCACCATCGCGCAGGGCGGCGTGCTGCCCAACATCCAGGCCGTGCTGCTGCCCAAGAAGACCGAGAGCCACCACAAGGCCAAGTGAGGCGCGAGGCGGGGGCTCCAGGAACAACACAACGGCTCTTTTCAGAGCCACCCACCACGTCGCGGAGGAAGCTGGCGCACGTCTCGTGGTTTCGGTTTCTGGTGACTTTGTGTGTCTCCTGCTCAGGGAAGGGGCAGAGGTCGGGTCCTAGAGGGTCAGCAAGTTGGGACAGGCAAACCCGGCGAGTGGGTCCTGGCTGCACGCTCGCAGCAGCCCCTGAGCTGGGATGGGGTCGCGGGGGGAACAGGTTCGCAGGTGGCGATGTTTTAGTTGTAGCGTTATTTCTTAGGCCTTCTATGTGGCAGGAGGTTTAATTAGCTAAAAGCAGAAATGCTAAGCACGTGGGTAGCTACTTAGTCTCTTGACAAGTGTGCCTTACGCCAGCAGGACCCAACTCCATGCATCCTAGAACGTGTCTCGGAGCGCTTGCTCGTGGGAGTCACTTCTAGGTGGGGAGAACCTGTCGGCGATTTAGCAATGCAGAAAATACGGAGGACGTCGGCTGGCGCCCGGTGGGGGCTGCTGTGTTTTTAATTGAACAGGACACAGGTGGCTGTTAGGGGGCGGGAGTGTCCCAGTTAAAGGGAATTAAAAGCGCAAAGGCCTCGCCACATTGTGTTGGTGTTTTGTGGGAGCAGCCAGGGGGCAGAAGAGGCTGAAGAGAGGAGTTTCCACAGAAGAGGGCTTTCTGGGGTGAGAAGCAACATGGACAAGCGAAAAGCAGTGAGCCTCCAGATAGATGTGCTAGCGCTGGCCTAAGATGGGGAAGTGGTAGAACCCAAGTCACTTTGTTAAAAAGATACACCATGTGACTCCACAAATGAAAACTTGGAGATTATGGCTTATAGTGTACTGATTTACTACCCCCAGCCTTTGTCACGAAAGCCCCGTTGAATAAAGGCGGCAGACCCAACAAGAAAAATTATGCTCTAGTGACACACCCCAGGTTCTCTGATGTTACCATGAAGTTTGAGGAGTGAGGAGTTTATTAGATCAAGCGCTAAGGAAGCAGGCAGAGGGAATGTCGGTAAGAGGAAAGAGTTTAATTTCAAGAAGCTGCCATCCCGGGGAAAGAGAGTTCTCAGTCCAAAATGTGCCCTTTGCCCAACAGGCCAGCAAGAGAGGTTTGAAAGGATGAGTAGCTTCAGGGAAAGTTTAGAAATAAAACAAGGAGTCCATTTAATTGCTAATTATGCAGATATTCGGGTTTTGTTCTGGTGTGGTGTGGGTCCTTCCTTTTTCTTTTTTTTTAAACTAGGAGGAGACTGGCAGGTGGAGGTTTCTTTGTTAGTTGGGGCAAAAGTTGCCATCCCAAATCATCTCCCTCTGTAGGCCCCTGAAATTCTTATGCAGCCTTTAGGCACAGGTAATTCACTGTATCCGTAGCTGGTTGTTGTTATATATATATAAATATGAAAGAAGGGAAAGGAGAGGAAGGTGCCTTTATTGTGGTCACTTCTGTAGGTTGCCATGACAACTGTGAATTGTCCATTGTTACTATGCTGATGCACTGGATTGAGAATACACTGATGCTGAGGTCCAGTGTTCCTTAATGCTGACGCCATTTTGATTCCAACTGATTTGCGTGAGCCATGTTCTTGCTTAGCCTGCTTCCTGGCTGGGGCCTGGCACACTATCTCAGAGTACATCAGATGACATTAAAATGGCTTCCAAGTGTATAAACAGATGCTCCAAATCTCTACCAAATGTAAATACAACTTTTAAAAAATGAGATTGGCTACCCTATGCATATGATTCCACAGTCTGAGGCTGGATGATGTTAGCTGCTGACAGGGATAAAGGAATATGTAGTGTGTGTGGGAGTGTGGACTGAAGAATAAACTGGGGCTCATTAGCTGGTTCCTGACCAGTATCTCAGGGAAGCCACCACACAGGGACAAAGGCCCCTGGTTGAGGAGGCCAGGCCATTGGAGTGGTGGGACAATGGAGGCCCCTTTTGGTCTGTCACTGGTAGAGAAGGTAGGAGACACATGGCAAATTAAAAATTTGCTTTTTAAAATATCCCTACGGAACATACATTTTATAATGAAGAAATTGCTGTTTTTGCAAGGTGTCTGGCGTGTAACAAATCTTCCCAGGCAGACAAATCAATTAATTCACAGGCTTTTATTGGGGTTCCGCTCCTGGGTGAGGTTCCCCGGTCCCAACAGAGCAACAGAGCGGGGACCCCGGGAAGTCACACGTCAGAGATTGGGAGGGCTCCTTTTATAGATTCAGGGCGTGGGGGTTAAAGGTTGAGGCAGGTCTGATCCTCATTGGTTGACCTTTAGGCACAGGCAGGGACCTTGACAAGGACTTTTCTTCCCCGGAAGTGTAGGCCTTCCCTCCTTGTGGCTCCCAAAGCTACCAGTTTTGTTCACCATTCTCTCTCCACTATCTAGAAAAGAACATGAAACGTGCTTGTTAGGAAGAGTTGCAGATTGGCGCCTCCTCACACGGGACAACATAAATGTTAGGAAAAGAGGTGCAGAATAGAGAGGAGGCAGTGTACAAATTTACAGCCAGACCAAATTTATTCAGAGAAAATAAATTTGCAGAGGTAGGTGACCAACTGCCCGCGTTTACATTGAAGGAACTCGTGGCAGAAGGCCCAGGCCCGCAGGGACCCAGTCTTTTTTTTATATTTTAGGAGGACTGGGGCTGGGGGTGGGGTAGGGGGCAGCAGGTGGAGGGGAATTCCAGCAACTGGTCTTTCAGGTGGCCATGGGGGGATGGGGTGTGAAGGCAATAGAGTGTGAGACCCAATGAGATTCAAGGGCAAGAAATACATTCCAGTGTTTATCTTCTGAGCAATGAGCTAGAATGGCTGAGGCTTATGTCTTTGTTCCATCAATAGTAAGTCAACGTTTGTGAACAAAATGAAATAACGGAAAAATAAATTTAAAATATGCTGCAATATCCAATATTTTCCCCTAGAGGGAGATAGTCACCATGAAACAAATTTTACTCATTTCCACTGAAATCAAATTAAAACCCTTCACTAAAGAAAATATTTTGTCCATGTTCCAGTTTCTGCTTTTGTAAGACTTCAGCAACACGAATGTGTTTTCCTCCTCACAAAACCAAAATCGTGGGAAAATGTTACATTTCATTTAAAAGTTAGAAATACAATATAACTGAATGTAGGCTCAAGAGGGGCCCTGTGGCTTAGCTGGTCAAAGCACCTGTCTAGTAAACAGGAGATCCTGGGTTCGAATCCCAGCGGGGCCTACTGTGTTCAGTTTTCTATTTTCGGTAGTGTTGCCATCACACATGTGGGAGAGTCCCTGGCCCAGTGATTGCACCACAAGGATTAGGATGAAAGGAAAATTGAATGTAGCTGGTTTGGTAAGCATGGGCTGTCTGAGATAGCGCAGTCCGTGATAGAGGGTAACTCTGCCTTAGAAATTCTGTCTCCAGTCTCACCCTGTGCTAGCCTGTGTTTTCAGGTAAGTGATGGGTTTTGTTTTTTGGTATCAGAGAATGAATAAACTGTGCCACTTAAGAATAACAAAGAGAGCAGTGGTGCAATTCAGGCTTTCCTCCATTTTGGTTTTGTACAACCCTGAGAGCTGTCATATTTATGCATCACTAGAGCCCACTGATTGGAGGGGGAAAACCACAAATGGATGATCACCTCCAGAAGCGTGGGCATCACCATGACTCAGTGAGGCACCACCTCGAACCAGCTCCCTGCAGCCCGAGCACACACAGCAGGGCCTGAGCTTTCTCTGCAGAGATTTCTCAGGTCGCGTGCTTGGAGTTCCACACTCACCTCTGCTCACTTTGCCGAGTGTTGGCATACACCCGCAGTCCGTCTTGCATTGCGCAGGAGACCTGACTTCGCCTTGTGTTCGCAGCAGTTCCCTGCAGACAAGATGAGCACAGGCCTCGTGACACTCGACCTCTGCTGCGATCTGATCCAGTGAAGGCTGGAAATACCTGGAGATTTATCAGGCAGGCATTAAAAGTGTTCTTCCTGCCCTAGACTAAGCAAAAACTCAAACTGGGCCAAACAGTCTCTCAGGTATGTGCTAATGAAGACACACAGGTCAAGTGCCAAACTCTGACTCCCTGACACCTGTCAGCTCCTCCGATCTCAGCCTGCAGCCAAAGGCAAGCTCACTGCATCATTAACATCTTCCAGAGGCCTCACAGCCTGGATGAAGAATGAGGACAGAAGAGGGAAGTAGATTAACAGGAGGAAGATGAGACAATATATGGCAAATCACTTACAGTTTCACAAATAACAGATTCAGAGAAGGTGTTTTTATAGAACAGTGAGTATTCGTAAAAAGAATGGTTGAAACACACTCAAGGAAGCAAGCAGAAAAAAGGCATCAAGCCAGAGGGAAAACATTGGAAAATAGGATATTTGACAGCTTGGATTTTAAGGATACATAAATCAGATCTTGAACTATGATTTTTTAAATGAATTTAAAAAATGTTTTTGCACCTGGAACAGGCAGCACATTCTTCAAACACAGTAATTCATCTCAAGCACTTCCTCTTCCTCGTTTTAATTCTCTGATGGACCAGCATTCAAAGGACCCTTGAATCCAAATGCTGTTGCTCCAACCTTTGAAAGCACCGACAAATTCATGCTTTGAAGATTTAAAGTCCACAAATACTTGGTGCTGTGGTTTGAATGTCCCCACCAAAATACAGTTGTTGAAATTTAATCCCTACTGTGAGAGATAAAGAGGGCGGGAACTTAATCTATGATATTTGAGATGGGTTCAGTGAGGTCGCATGGGACACTGACCAGGGGATCTGCAGCTTTAAAAGAACAGAAGGGAGGCCTGAGCTAGCACACTGTGCGAATGGTAGAGGCAGGCAGATAGAGTAAAATCTATTAGATTTGTGAGCTGGAAAACTATGCCCCCTGTGTGATCTCATGCCTCTACCTGATCCCACCTGTATGCCCACCTGCCAATCACTACATAACCAGTCCCCCTTTGGGAGTAAATAAAAGGCCTGGAACAAGGTGGGCCCTTCCCTTGTTGCCCCTACTCTCTGCTTTCCTGCCTGCATGCTTGCTCCACATGGCTCAC